TGTTGCAACACGTTGCAACTCCAAAATTTTATAAGTCGCAACTAGTTGCAACTAGGTGATGCTTTATTTGTCACCACATTGCAACAGTTGCTGTGCCATCTTTATTCTCAACTAGGAAGTAAATTCAAAATTTAATTCATAAATATGGTAAAATAAGCTTTTTTCCATCATATTTATGGATTAAATTTTGAATTTACTTCCTAGTTGAGAAGTTTATACATTTTATAGAATATAATATTTGATGACTTTAGATGGTGCATACTATAAGCTCTACAAAGTTATTGGTATAATTTTGAAATTTTTATCTTTATATTGAGTTAATTTTAAAATTTTTAATTTTAGTATATTTACAATTTATCAAATTGTTATAATATAATACTTATTTATTAATTTTATCAAAAAAATGAGAATTGAAATTTTTTCAAAAAAATACTATTATAATATAGTAACAATTAAAAATAATACAATAACATCAAAATTTATTAATTAAATATAAATTTTTTTCTTTATATAAAATTTTTCAATTTTACTATTTTATATTAAAGTAAAGATAATATTATATATAATAATAATTTTCTTTTTATATAAAAGTTTTTAATTTATTAATAAATACTTTTATTTTTATATTAAAATAAAGATAATATTACATATTTTAATATATATATATATATATTAGATTTTTTAGATTTAATCTGATAAAGCTGTTCTAATTGCATATAAAATTAATTATTTTTTATAATTAAAACATATAAAAAATAATTGATTTTCTATATAATTAAAATAATTTAAATTTAAAAAATCTGAAAAAAATATATATTAAAAATCTAATATTATTTTCATTTTAATATAAAAATAAAAATTATTTATTAGTAAAATTGAAAATTTTATATACTAGAAAAATCTGTATTTTACTATATTTAATTAATAAATTTTGATATTATATTTCTGATTTAATATATATTAAAATTTTAATAGTTAAATATAATAAAAGTTGAAACTTTTATTTTATAAAAAAGTTTTATTTTAATTAATAAATATTTTTTGTTTTTATTTCAAAATAAAGCTAAGAATCTATAATAATAATTAGAAATAATATAACAATATCGAAATTTATTAATTAAATATAGTAAAATGTAAATTTTTTATATAGAAGTTTTTAATTTGATTATTAAAATAAAGATAATATTATATATTTTACATATATTTTTTCAGATTTTTTTGATTTAATTTGATAAAATTATTCTAATTGCATATAAAGTCAATTATTTTTTATATATTTTAATTATAAAAAATAATTAATTTTATATGTAATTAGAATAGTTTTATCAAATTAAATCTAAAAAATCTAAAAAAATATATATTAAAATATATGATATTATCTTCATTTTAATATAAGAATAAAAATATTTATTAGTAAAATTAAAAACTTTTATATATTTTATATAAATAAAAAATTTGTATTTTTATTATATTTATTAATAATTATTTTTTATATTATATTATTTTTAATTATATATTAAAACTTATAAAATAATAATATAATAAATAAAATTTTTATTTCTTAATATTTTGTTTTTATTCTTAATTATATATTTTAAAGTTTATATATAAATTATATTAAATTTATCAAAATATTTTTATAGTTAAATTTTAATATAAAAAATCTTATAGATCTCAATTGAAAATTTTATAATAAAAAATTTATATTAAAATTTATCTATATTGAAATTATTGAAATAAGTATTTTTATTATTGATTAGTGATTTGATAATTTTGTTATAATTATATTATTATTAATTATATTTCAATAACTTGAAATATTTGATTTTAGTAGAGAAGCTTTAAAATATTATTTATTTTATAATTCTTTTATTTTATAATATTTTTGTTTAAAACTTAATATTTTTATATTTCTTACAAATTTTTATTTTCTTTTTAAATTATAATAATTTTAATAGAAATTGATATAGAATTTAGATACTCTTTTTTATTATTATTTTTTACTCTTTTTTAAACTCTTATTTATATTTTTAGGCTAATTTTCTAATTAGTGAGCAAATTTGTCATAGTATATAAATTTTTATATTATTTAAATAATTTTTATATTAAATTATAGTTAAAAAAATCTTTGTGCAAAGATTTTTATTATATTATATTAGTTTTTAAATATTATTTATAAATTAATAATAGATTTAGTTTTAAAAGCAAAAAAAGTTTTCTAATACATGTATATAAATATTAAATCTCCTTATGAGTCAGTTTATAAGCCAAAATTTTTATTTATTACACTTCATATTGATTTATTTATTAATGAATTTCATATAAAAAAAGCTCACAAGCCAAAATATTTATTTGTCATCTCGGTGTTTGATTCCCAAGTCACATTGCAAGAAGCTTTATTAAATATATAACTGCAGCAACTTAATACATGTATATTGTGTAATAAATTGGTATGCATATAGTAAATTTTATTTCTTTCCATAGCATTAAGAAAAAAATCAGTATTTTGTACTTATTCACAAGTAGAAAAGGGTTGGTAGTGATTTTTTGGTGAATCTCTGATTTTCTAGTGGTTTTGCTGATGTTTACCCGATTTATCCTAAATTCAATGAATTATTATTTATTAAAAGTTTACCAAGAAATCCGAAATCCTTCTAGAGGTTTACAAAAAAAAACCACTAGTATATCAGCCCTTTTCTACCTGTAATTAATCTTATCTGAGAACTTAGAATGCGAGGCTTTACTGCAGTTTATCCTTTAGATCGCGAACGAGTATCATCGAGTCATTGACATCCAAAAGTCAAAAATTTTTCATAAAGCAAATAAATGAGAGAGGAATAAGAATAAGAATAAGAACAAGAACAAGAACAAGAACAAGAACAAGAACAAGGACAAGAACAAGAACAAGAAAAAAAATGCAGAAAGCAAATAACGATAATCATTCAAAGTTAAGGGGAATTATCAAATCTATTCTCGTTATTTAGAATTTATCTACCTAATATAAAAGTAAAATGGTGTATCGAAACATAGAGAAAAAGCAATCGAAAGATTCCAACATAAACTTTCAATTCATGAAGAAGTGCCAAGAGAATTTGATAATTGGATTTGGACAGCAATTACTTAGTGCAGTAGTATATTGAGCAATATTAACGTTAGTATTAACAGATTTCATTTTCTTCTTCAGTATAAAAAAGGAAATAACTAAAATATACAAAGTAAGAGGTTTCACTTATAAAATCTTTACATGAAATAAAAAATAATCATTCTTGTAAATCAAGTTTCCAAACAAATCCTTCAAGAGTTACAACAAATGATCTGGAATATCTTCTCATACCCAATACATCATTAATTTTTTCTAGACTGTAACGGAACCCGATACAATTTTGGATGCTCAGATGTTGCAGACGAGTCAACTTTTCTAAGAAAGACCAATCCATAAAGGTAAAGCGGAAATAATTGAATTTCAATGAGGTGATTGTACTGTTCTGTGTGCAGAGAGCCGAAAATAATGATGCTTGATAGTTTGTTTCGATACTGCCGGTTATCACGAAAGTGGCGAGATTAGTTTGCGAGTGTATAAGTTGGATAAGATTTTTAATTGATTCGGCGCCATACGTATCGTCTACACGAAATCTTAAGTGTTTCTATAATAAAGTGAATTTGGATATTTTCTATTAAAGAATATATATAATAAAACACAAAAGAAATAATAGAAGATTTAAATTTACAATTTTTCGGCAAATCGGAATCATTGCAGCCAATACTTCACTCTTCTTGCATTTCCCATCCAGATTAAGAGTTACAATCTCCGAAAACATAAATCTATATTCAGACGACGCCCATAAAAGATGTTCTTTAGAATCCTGTAGATATTTTACTCTCATTGCTTTGAACTGGATGCCACGTGTTTTGAACATTTCTAACAAGAGACACATGATTAAACTAGCAAATTTTCCTCTCTGACATTTGCGCAATCTCCCGCAATAACCATAAGTCGCTTGAACCATCCCACCATAATCAAATACCGAGCAATATGAAATATAATCGAATAATGGCTCTTTAATAATTCTCAAATCTACCTCTAATTCTTTTAAATCTTTTGATATGCTATTTATTGGCAAATAAGGAAACATTTTAAAATAGCTTTGTGATGGTTCTGTGATGGACAGTAAGTATGTGCGAATCGCACGGCTAGTGTTGAGACGTGGATGACTAAATGGTGCTTTCCAGAGAATTGAAATACCATTTCGACACCAAGTACGGTTGACGAGAATCACGGAAAATAAGTCTTTTGGCACTAATGCCTTGAATATTAAGTGTAGAATATCGGTAATTAAATGCACATTTAGTTTTTCTGATTTACTGTCTTTATTTGGCTCGGATAATGGCTGTGGGTCTTCTGCTTGTTGTTGCATTGTAAAAAAGATGCGGAAATTTTGGAGAATTTCAAGACTTCCAAAAATAATGTATTGATGAATTGCCCATTGTCATGCTCAGTTATCGTACGTATTTACGTAGCGTTAACACGTATTAGACGATCGACCTTTCTTTCCCCAAAAAATTTAGACACTATCGCTATCGCTGTGTTGAGCTAGTTGCGTACGTACATGGTTACAAAAGCGTTACATGTACATGTATTTGGTATTACGCTATTGGATAGTATAAAATTTGATTTTCCGACCATACCATATACATGTACGTATTATTAAATGTACCTGTTTTAAATAATTCATTGTGATTGGCTAATTTTTGTAGATCATTTTATACGTATTCTCTAATTATTTATATACGTAACGGTAATAGTAATGTAAAAATTTATCTCGGGCAAGAAGTTTATGTGTCCGTCTGTTGTACACTTTAAACACTGTCACGTCGATTGGGAGGGAGCACGCATGAATGTGGTTTTAGCCGGATTAAATGCTACGTATTTCGTATATTAAAAGTCAGATAATTACATAAGGGTAAGCCGTAATAATAATTCTATTCTTACAGTGTGTTGCAAAAGTCGAGCCAAACAAAAAGGCAATATATTTGGTGCTATGACAATCATTTTAACTTTTTTTTTAGGAAGAGCGAACGACTCCCGCAAAAGTACCCACGCCAAAACTTTTGAGCATTTCTGGCTTCAGAGCAAAAATGCAAGTAAAATACAATGGCTAACAAACATTCCGAGATCAATTATCTACTATAATTGAAGAAAACTGGAAGTACAGCCCACAAAAAACTATTGGTCGTCCCACAAAAATCACCCCGAATGCTCAAGATCTGTTGGACAAATTGTTTAGATATCTTTACAAACAGATTATTCAAAAAAGGTACACGGGTGTCTTATAGTACACTTTCGAGACATTTGGCCAAACTTAACTTCAAGAATCGCTCTATGGGAACATCAATGCTTACGACGGCATACAAGGAAAAACAGGTAGAATGGGCACGAAATTACCTCAACGATAATTGGAATCGGACATTATTTTCTGACGAAACAACTTTTCGATTGTTTAGGAACACCGTACAAGTTTGGTACAAGGGTAAACGGCTGGTTCGTCGCCTTCCCAAAGATCGGACAAAGATTAATGCTTGGGGTGAGTTTTATATAATTCCTCAGTCCCGAATTGGAAAAATTGTTAAGATCTAGTGCTAGTATTAAATAAAAAAAATCTGCTTATAAAAAAGTCTAAAATAAAGTTAACAATGGCAATGAATCAATTAAGTATTATAATAATAATAAGTACTGTTCGATAATCAAGAAGAATAATGATTAATGTCAAAGTAGCTAACGTTTTGTATAAACAATTTAATAAAGGAATAATGAAAATAATTTAATAAGCCAGATTCAAACTCAAAGAAAAACAACTCAATATAAAATTGATTCATATTTACAATTTATTTACAAGATCATCTGTTTATTAAAAAATGAAAACATGTATACGTATATACATTTTATTATACGTATAGAGATCACCTCATTTCCGTAATGACTTTTCCCCAAATTATGCACTCGTTAAAGCATTTAAAGCCCCTTCGAAAAGTATATATATATTATTATCTAAAAGTCTTTGACGCCAATATTAATAAAAAATAGCCCAAACACAAAACATTGCTTCTTTGCATGCTGGCTAATTTCCACTATGAAATGTGATGGGATAAAATCTAAAACCAACGGGATGATATTGTTCAGCAAGTTGATAAGATATCTGGTTTCTAGATCTGTATATTATTCAAATTTCTGTATAATTATTGGATCAATCTTGAAATGCCAGTTCTAGAAGCAAATTAATCTTGTAAGTTTTTGGCTTTTTTGCTAGTACCTTTTGACATCCAAATATCATGAAAATGTTTGTTAAAGAATTAATAATTCACAAGAAACACAGTTTCACGAATATTTAAGGATACATGCAAAGATCCAATTATTTAAACAATACGCAAATTTGTTCTGGTGTTCCAGAAGAATCTCCAATTTTGATGTGATGAGTAATAGCACACCATACATTAAGTTGTCCAGGATAGTTCATAGACGTCACTAATTCTCGCATTTTCATATAAATTTTTACTTTGGGAATATCTATCAGGTATCTAAAAGCTTTTACATAATCTTTGATCAAATAAAGGAATTCTTTTAAATTAACTAATTTAGTATTTTCTATACTTCGATTAGTTCGATATTGTTCAATCCTGTCATCGTAGCTATAATGTTAGCATCAACACCTCTTTCATTATGAATACTCTTTTCTCAATTATCAGGATTATAAAATGGAATAGATGCCATTTCTAGCAAGATTTTTAAGAGCATCGTAATCAAATGAGAGATTTTATGTGTAATTTTTGTATTACTATTACCCATTCACATTATGAACAATTAGACTTTCATTTTATTAAAGGATAGTTTATTAGTTTGATTAATTATGAATACAAAAATCTTTTCACTGTCATTGTATGTATTTCTGCATGCTGAATTTTCTGTCTTGCAATGATTATATATCTTACTGTCAAGCCTGCACCAGCTAAGGTTCTATCACTAATGAAGATGTGCCAGATGTATCTAGCAAAAACTCAATCTCCACCTTGGTCCCATTAATAAACTTATTATACTGTACGTTTGTGAAATTGTCGTCGTTTAACTATATACATTAGCGTTAAAGTAAATTTTATGTATATTAATGGTTAGGGTTGTATTGGTTCAGCTTTGGTTCTAGGTATCAATAGTTAGTTTCCAAAGTTCAATATAATTTTTCTCTTGGGAGAGAAGGAAATTTAAGCTTTGCACAAAGATATTGAAATTTTTTACTTCTCTTTTTTGATTGTCCAAAGTAAACGACTACTGACTTTACATCGACTCAATTGCTATTGTAAGTACTGTTAATGTCGCTAATCTTGTAAATAACGATAAAGTGTAAGAATCTGTGTATAGAATTTTTAATTGACACTCTTTCAATTTAGTCTGTTGGAGTTTTGCGGTTGAATTATGTAAAGTAAAACAACCATGCCATGTTTTATTCATGATGATAAAAAAAACTATTACTATAAAATTTCCATGACTTTCAGTTGTAAAGTATTCTGTTACCTTGCAATATAATGAAGACAACACATTAAAAAAATAAATATCTCAACATATTCCAATACATTAGTTGACTTTGTTTATTGTTATAAATATTTTCATTAAAATCTATAAAATAACAAATGCAAGTACGTACATGTACGTATTACACGCACCAAAGTGAACATCGAATTTTTGCACATAAATCCATTGTACGTAATGTAACAAAGAAAAAATTTCTTGATTTGGATGTAATGCTTATTGTTAATGGTACATGTATCAGTGTTGGAGCTGATAAAATTGAGTTTTCTTTTGTTGTGTTGTTACATGGAAATGAAAGCTAGAAGACAACAATATTAACTGAAATTAACGCTGGGAAAGCTTATGTTAGCTAAGAATTGTGTGCTGCTAGTTATAACGTTAGCACAGATTCGAGTATATTGAGCGAGACAATATTTATTCCGAAGCAAAAGAAAAATGACAATGCACTCACCTACAGGGAATTTACATAAGCAATTGGTTAGATGTCCGAGAAGAATTGCTATTGAATTGGATAGCTATTGGTTTTTTTTGCATTGTTAAATTTGAACGAAATTAATATTGTTTATAATTTGCGCAGTCAGCTTTCAAAGATTATAAAATGAGCTCTTCTTCGAGTCATTTTCTCCATTAAACAAACAAGTTATACTTGCAATTCTTCCAATACTAAAGAAAATAAATTCTTAATCTTTCACACACACTGAGCGTTTCTCCCTTTTTTCAGTCAAACAAAATGCAACCAACAACCAATACTCAATCACCGTTCAATCCCATCACTGTTATTGTACCAAATGGCGCCATCAAGGGACCCACCGATGACGGTAATGCCGATAAAGCCACATTTCAATGTGTAATAATGTGAATGATTCAAAAAAACACAACATCATCTATCTTGTTTTAACCGCCAATAATCAACTTCACAATAATTCAATTTCCAACATTTCGAATTGATAACTGTTTTAAGTCAAGCGAATACCATTCCATTAATTTTACGTTAGTTATTCGAAACAAGTAAAGCATATTTTATTAATTGTTGTAATGCTATAATGGCAATTATATAATTATTTCATAGAGCTTACAATTTTTTTTACAATAAATAATTTTTTTTGATATATATACCATCAAACAAATGTTTTTCTGAAGTTTGATATTAAAAAATGAAATACATGTGCTTAATTACAATCTGATCCTGTTGTTATCAACTCACGCTAACGCTAATAGCGAGTAACATGCATGTCACCGTATCACATGACTGAAAAGCGACCCAGGTTTCTTAAAAAGTTATCAAGTCGCATACGTACATGATTAAAAAATGAAAGCCTGACATGGGTAAACCTTTATTTTTTACGAATGCACATAGTGCTCAAAGGGGATAATATCAACCATAATATTTTGGAAGGGTGACTATCGGTAAACTTTTTTGCGATATTTGATATGGTGAATTTTCGCTGACTGCCCGTCAGGAAAAGGAAAAAATCTGTTGCGAAGTATAGCACAACTGTGCCAGAGAGGTCGGAGAACTCTCAAATAATCCCATAATGTTCACACATAGCATGAAATGCCGAATCTTTGATTCTTGGAATGAATTGCAATTTTATTCGAGACCGAGTTTGTCTGGCTATCATAGCATATTCGTACAGTTCTAGCATTATTTGTAGAAGCAAAATATATAAATAAAATGCCAAGATAATAACAATAAAAAATAAAAAAAATAAAAGCGATGAATTTGCGAAAATCTAATGGCAAGTCATTTTCCCGATTGCAGGTTTGTAAAAACTTATTTTCTCAATAACCAGTGATTAGAATTTTATACTTTGGTATTATTAAATAAGACGAACATTTTGGTAGTAATTTCATTTTAATCAGAATAATATTTATCGAATTATTGCGATTTTTAGTTTTTTTTTTAGTTAAATAAAAAACGTTCAAGTTACAAAATTTTTAGACCATTAAATTTTATTCAAACTTGCATTCGCATCAAGTACTGATATTTTAGGGGCATAATGCCTTACTCAAAGGTAATGATTTGAACCGATTAGACCATAATCGGGTAACCGATCCGAACCGAAGAAACTCGGTTGAACCGGTTGAGAAAAATCTTTGGTTCAACCGGTTAATAACCGGTTAACCAGTTATCAAAAAGCATTATTTGACACGTTAATACAACGAATATTGGATTCATCACATGTATTCACGGGATCTGGGTAATGGAGTAAGATCACGCAATAATGGGAGCCGGGGCGTAAGAAGTATCATAATTGATTATGGGGTTACGAAGTGTGAAATAGTTGAGAATAAATGTATGTGGTGACGAAATATGTAATCAGTGGGAACTAATGTAAATTGTGGGAAAGGAAAATGGGGAGACGAATCACTTGTAAAAAGGGATTCGTCGCATATCTATGAAGGGGCGTCTAAGAATAGAGTAGGATTATGTTCTTTGGTAGTTAGGAAGAATCTTTAATCATTAAACTGAGAAACTTTAAATCAATCATCAATTGTAATAAAAGTAGAAGCATCACATTCATCGTGTCAAATATAGAGTAATTCTTTCACAAATCAATTCTTCGTAGTCAGATTCTTAGAATTTCCGCGCATTCTTTTATTAGTTAATATCTTCATTTTCGATATAACATTCACTTTGAAATTATGGTAAAATAAACATGATTTATGTGTGTTAACGTTAAAGAAGTTATAGTTATGCATGAAAAAATGACAGACGCATAAAAGAAGAGTACGTATACCGATACATGTTCATATATGTATACGTATACGTACTGTATATCGATATTGTTCAATAAAATCGTATCTGTATTACATGCGAATGATAAAAGAAATTATCAATTTGCAAATTTACACATTATAAGACGATAAAAATAAAAAAATGAAGACTGGTTTGTTATTGGATTCACACTCTAATAAATTGGCAAACTTTTATGAAAATGCCAAATATTGTGACATTTCGATTCATTGAACAAACTTTTATAGCGCAGTCGGAATATTTTGCTGTTGCTTTCTCCGACGAGTGGATAAGACGAGAATCGGACAAACTAATTGTCTTTGAGAAACCAAATATTGAACCGCCCATTCTTGAAATCTTATTAAGGTAACTTTTATTTAATAATGTTTTAGAAATATATTAAATTGAGATTAATCGATATGGTCATGATATAAGATACATGCACAGTGGCAAAATCGATTTGTCAGATCATGGGGTGCCAACGCTTCTAGATTTGTTAGCTGCTGCTGACGAATTAATTCTGGAAGATTTGATTGAATATATTCAAGAATATCTTTTGGAACAATCAAGTTGCTTTTCAACACAGCTCCTTTTTTAAACTTCAGGAATTCTGTACGGAAATTGCATGCAAAAATCCTGCTGCGGTTTTCCAATCCAGCGACTTTGTAGAAATTCAAGAAACAGCACTCATCTCTTTGCTCAGATGAGATGATTTGAATCTTAAAGAAATTGAAATTTGGGAAAAGGTTCTTGAGTGGGGGATCGCACAAGTGTCAGCTTCTAGCAACGTCGACTTATCGATTCCAGTGGACCAATGGTCAAGAAACGAATTCAATGAACTTAGAGCTACGCTTAAAAGTTATTTACTATTAATTCGTTTATTTTCATATAAACTCTGTCGATTTCTATAATAAAGTGATGCCGTGCTCGGAACTATTACCAGAAAAGCTTTATAAGCGTCACTTCACCTCATCCGTAATTCTAATTACTCAGCAATTCTTTCCCACAGCCAAATCAATAAAACGATTCAATGGGTAAAAAGAACGAGATAGTGAAAAAAATTATCCATTAGACTTTAACCTATTATTACGTGGACAGCCAAGATGGATTTACACCTAGGGATTTTCACCGTTTATGTGATGATAAAAGTCCAACCATTGTTGCTATTCGTGTCAAAAATTCTAAAAAAAAAACTATTGGCGGTTACAATCCTATTGAATGGAAATATCTTGATAAAGATTATCCTGGAATAATGAGCAGCTTTTATTTAAATTTGATTCTGACGACATTACAAGTCTTAAGTAAATACAACGACAAATCTAATAACCGTAAAATCATGGGACCTTGCTTTGGACACGGTGATTTGGATTTGGGTTTGAGTACAGGTCTATGTAAGAAATCTTCTTATGAATTTGGTCTTCTAGGCGAATTAAACCAAACAATAAATTTTGATATCGAGGATTATGAAGTTTTTTAAATAGTAAAAAAATAAATAGAACTTTCAAGTAAATTAAAGATCATCTTGTGTGTATACGAACATGTACATGTACATGTATATCTTAATTTTTACGAGTTAATTACGTATCATGTAAAATTCATATACGTACATGTATCTATTAAGATAGTTTCACTCTAAAAAGAATTACGTATGTACAGTTATTATGGCATAATAATAAAACCTCCTCGTTATAATGAAAAAATATAAAACATATAAACATCATTATTATGACAATAAGAACAAAAACTATTTAAGAAACCGGAAGGTGTCATAATAATGAGGGTTGACTGGATATACTACGTAACAATCTAATCATAGATAGTAGTAAGAAAATTTAAAAAATTTAATTTTTGTAAGATTTTTTGTATTGAAATCGGAAATTTAGATTTTATTTTTCGAAATTTCATGGAATTTGATAGATAATTTTCTTTTGAAATTTAGTTTTATTGATAGGTTTATGTGAATGTCGAAACATGAATCGGACTTGTTTATCAGCCTTGCCTTTTTATTTTTATCTTGATTTATTTCCTGATTACATGCTATGAAGCGTTAGAAAAAATATTATTATGTAGTTTGAGAAATAAAGAGTTATAAATATTTAATTGAAAAAAGAATACATATCGAAATTGCAAGACTAAATAAATGCGTTCTATACATTTGTTCTTGATATACAGTCAAAGTCCTTTACAACGGCGTGTATACATCGGATTCGACTTATACCGTATTGATATCCCGATTTTTACGATTTTTAACTATATACATGTATTTAAAACTCCTATATAGCGAATTTATAACACAAGCCCTATATACCGGCCCAAAAGTGGCAATCCAATGCGGCCGTTGTAAAGAACTTTGAATGTAGGTGGAACGTTGGGCCGATTAACATGTGATAAGTGGGACTTTGTATTACATGTACATGTACTTGATTTGAGTGATAGAGTGTTGGGTTATAAAAGTTTTTCCTTTAGTTTCATAAACTCTGCATCAGCAGTTTGAAATACATATATATCCTTATTCTTTCGCATATACACATTCCAAACTCGTGTTTATAAATTTCTTCGGTAGTCGGGCGCTTAGCAGGATCTGAATCCCAACAATGTTTCATCAAATTGATGTAGCATTCGCGTTCGGAAGCAATTCTACTTGGAATTTTAGGTCGTAATCACAAATATCAAATGCAAGGTGACTATCATCTGGTCTGCAAGTAAATGGAACATCGTCGGTGCCACAACCCAAAGTATTATACTCGCCACCACGTAAAATTTCTGGAGCAATGTATGCTTTCACTCCATAAAGTACTTGATGCATTTCTCGATCGATTGTTTGAGATAATCCTAAATTTGCTATTAAAGTCCATTCCTCACCATCATCAGATTTATGTTGTACATGTAATATGTTACCTGAAGATCGCAATGAATAGAACTATTTTGATTATATATATAACATAAAATTCTCGATCTTGTTTTCCAACTGATGTTTGTGAAAATTTTTCTCAGATAACTTCGTAAATCTCCTCTATCCGCATGTGTTACTAGCATGTATTCACCGGTGGATATTACCTTAGAAATACATGTACCATAATAGTGCAATATTCGACGAGTGTGATGATATTTGTAATGCGTTTCAAGTAATAAACAGAATGTTATCTAATCATAATTCATCATTTACTTTCTTACATCATGCATTAAATGCTTGTAATTTAAGGAGTTCTGATTCAGACGCTTTAGCGCTATATTTGTTGGTCCAGCTCGTAGCCATTTATATTCTCGTTCGTCCAAACCCCATTAATGATACTTGATGATGACGAAACCTTCCGTCACGACGATGCCTGACGATGACCATTTTTGGAAATGAACGAATTAATACAGAAGTACTTTTTTATTCTAAAATGGCTTGAAAATCATGGATTAGAACAGGACTTTGCATTTACAATTATTCAAGAGATCACTCATACACACCAAGAAAAAAGACACACACAAGTCGGAATTGTAATAAAGAATATAATGCCAGTAACTGTAAATGTTGTGTTAACACTTTATTACTGAAAGAATGATAATCTAATTACATCACAAAGATCAAAAATCAACATAATTATAAACTTGTAACTTGTAACTAATATCAATATTCTCGCATCTTAATATAGAAGATTTATCTTAATGATGTGAGATTACTTGCAGCATATGGAGTGCACGCTGATGCAATCATTGAAGTTTTATAGTATAAAAATACAGAAAAATATATTCATACCTGTAACATTTACAATTTATTCAATCTATTCATTATCAACACCATGTTAAAAAGTGATGCCAGTTCAATATATCTTGAGCTCATAAAATAGCAGCAGGAAAATCTGACTTTTCACATTAATATATGATTTGAAGATCAAGATAATCATCTTATAGCATTCTGCTGGATGTATTCAAGTCAATAGAGTTATGAGCACATTTTCATGATATTATTATTCTCAATACAATGGCAAAAATCAACTATTACTTAATAATTTTGTATGTTATAATTCTAGTCAACAATTATAATTGCTCTTATCTTATAGCAATGGTTATTCTATCAGATGAGATCAAAAATAACTTCACATAATTGTTTACAAGTTTTTTTAATGCAATAGATAGATTAATGTTATGCTTACTTTATATAAATACTAATCCTAAAATAATTACTGCAATAAACAATTTTTAATCAATAACAAAACATCACTTTTGTTTATTTCACATTCAAAAAAATCTGAAAAAACAATTTTTAAGTAAATATCATAATGAAAAGTAATGTAATTTTTTTGTAGCATTCTGTTATACACATATTATATAAAATCAGTTTTTAAGAAAAGATAAAAGATATTATTAGCAGAATATGCTAATATTACTAACTAGTTGCAAAATTAACTTTATTAATATCAGAAAGCTTGGACATTGTATTATATATTGTGCATTTAATGTGAAAATATTGTTATATAATAAACTTTAATCAAAGATTTTACTGAATTATTTATACTTAAAATTATTAAATTATAAATATCTTATATTTTATTAAAAGAATCTAATCATGTAAAACAAGTAAATAAATAAGTGAATGAATGAACAAACAAGTAAATAAATAAGTAAATAAGTGAACAAATAAGCAAATATTAAACTAATAAAATTTAAGTGAACGAACATAAATTTGTATAACTAATGAAATATAATTTAAATATATATAAAAGTAATATGTATCATAATTATTAGAAACAAGTTCTTAATAGTAATATTTCTAATTATTAGTTAATTATTATGTATTTTTGATCATTCATATGAGTAAAATTTGTACTTTATATAAAATAAATAATCAAGCACAAATTTTTCTTTACATTTTTTTGACAAAGTATTTTTCTTTTTTATATAATTGCTTTAGCATATTTGTTATAAGTATTATATAATTCTTAAATAAAGTATTAGTTCTTCAAGTACATTTGTCACAAGTATTATATTATTTAGTAATTAGTTCTAGACTTTTTGAACATATTTATAACAAAACTTATTGAAATTATATTAAATAAAGTGATTAATTAGTAAAACTCTCTGAATACATTTATAATAAAGTCTATTAAGTTATTATTAGTTTTATAATCTTCTAACTTAATTATGAAGTTATATTAAAATAAAAGAAATTATTATTATAATTCTTAAATTTATCTTTGAATTATATTTGTAATAATATAAATATTATAATCTCTATATATTTTACTTTAAGATTTTGAGAACACTTTTTAGCTATTCAGATTATTATATTAAAAAACACAAACTATTATTAATCTTTAAGTAATTTTGTTACTAGTACTTTTAATACTTATTTATATTCAATTTAATAATTATAAAGTATTGTTAATTGTTAAAAGAAGTTTGTATATTTATAATATTATTTGTTATAGTTATTATAATTAATATTAATATTAAAGAATATTTTATTAAATTTGATATTAAATTATTAGTTTTATTTTTTCTAAAATATAAATAATTTTGTTTTTGGATCTAATAAGAAAGAAATTTGTAATTCTTATTTAAAATTAATTAATATTTATTTAATTTTTGATAAATTAAATTTGTTATTATAAATTAGAAAAAACTATTATTGTTCATATATAAAATTAAATGTTCTTAAATTTCAAAAAAAAATAGAATAAATATTATTATAAATTATATAATTTAAAGCAGATAAAAAATAAATTGTATATTTAATCAATTTCAAAAGAATTATATTTAATTAAAAAAATAAAAATAAATTAATATAATTATTAATTAAGTTATTATATTAAAAATAGTTAAAAAACAAAAATTATCCAAAAATAATTTGAAAAAAAGAAATAATAGCAAAAATAGCTTAAATATCTTATTTAATTAAGTTATTTCTATTTTTTATTTTATTTTTCTATTTTTATTTTATTTTTTATTGTTATATTAATTTTTAAAAATATTAGAAATTATAAAATTTCTAAAAATATCAAATTGATAAAAATAATTTATATTTTATTTATTATTTAATTAGTTATATAATTATTTATTATTTCTTATTTTTTAATTTAGTAAATATTATCTTAAATATCTTTTTTATAATACCTTTTTTATTTTTTAAAATATATATTTCTTGAAATATAGTCAAATCTCTTTATAATTATACTTATTTATAGTTATATTTCTTTATAATTATTTTGCTTTTCTATTTATATATAAATATAATAAAAAATCTCTTTATAGTTACATCCTTTTTATAGTTACCAAATTTTATTTTTTTAAGAATAATAACTATAGAGAAATTTGAGTTTTTCTATTATTAGAATATTTTATATATATATCTTTTCTATTCTTTTTTATAGTATTATATAATATAAATAATATTAACATATAATGAAAAATTTTATATAAATAAAAATATTATTGTTACAATTATTTTAAATAAAAAATTTCTTTACTTTTAATAAAGAAGTTATATGAATTAGAAAAGAGAAATAGACTAATAAATTAATCAATACAAAAATAAATATTTAAGTTTATATCAATTTTGACAAAAATTATTAAATAATTTTATTAGAAGATAAGAAGAAAAATTGAAAAAATATATTTAAAATATAATAATCTAATAAAAATTACTAACTAAAAACAAATAGTATTAATATTTCTATACTTATAGATATATATTCTAGTATTTTTAATATTAATGAAAAAATAAAATACTAAATTCAAATCAAAGATCTTTAATTAAAAATCAAAATATTACAAATATTCAATTCAAAAATATATACTGTTTTTTCATAGTTTAAAGACTTAATAAATAAAATAATTAAAAATTCAATTTTTCAATTATTAAATTAATATTTAGTTTCTTGATTTCATTTAAAATTTATGAAAAGTAATTTAAATAACAAGATTTGAAGTTTAATTAACAAATTATTTTAGTCAGGCAACTCTTTTTAACAGAATAAAGATGAGAATAGATATAATAACAAGATATAATGAATTAACTTGTTAGAATAAAAATTAAAATTTATTAATTATTTGAAGTATAAGAGAGAATATGTTAAGATAGTACTATTATTTATACAAAAATTTTTAATATATATTTAAAACTATTTAGATTAGAAAATATTATAAAAAAATAAAAAGATAAATATAATAGAATAAATAAAAATAAATAAAGAATAGATAAATGATATTTAAAGATAAATAAAAATAGATAAAAGTAATAAAAAATAAATAAGAGTAAATAAAAGTAAATAAAAATAAATAAAGAATAAATAAAAATAAATAAAAAGTAAATAAAATAATTAAGAATAATATAATATTCATATAGCTAAATAAGTAAATTATTTTTTTACTATTTTTAGAAATATTTATATTTTTGAAAGATTATTTAATTAGCAAATCTTTAAGATTAATTATAATATTCAATTCTTTTTTAAAGATTTTGTTCCACAAAATTTTTCTTGATTTTATAATTCTTTATTTATTGAATTTAAATATAAAATAAAGATTTTTGTTGTTAAATTTGAATTTTATTGTCAATATTATAAAATTTTAAAACAAGTTAATAATTAATTATTATTAATTAGAAAAAATTGATATTAATTAATTTTTTTATTAATTAATACTAATTTTAATTAGTAATCATTGATTTATTTATTAATTAATAATAGTAATTAATTACAAATAATAGTAATTAATTATTATCAATTTTTGATTAATATTAATAATATATATTAATTAATATAAATTTAATTAGTATTGTTATCATTTTGATTAACTTTCAAAATAATTAAAGATATTTATAAGATTAAAGAAATATTCTAAGAGAATTTTCAATATCTTAACAATAATTCAAAATATTACAAAAAAATAATAATAATAATAATATATTAATATATATTAAAAATGAATTGGAAAATTATTTAGACCAAATTAATCTTTTGCTTTGGTAACAAGCTCAACAATAAGAATATCCAATTTTAAGTCAAATTGCAAGAAATTATTTATGTATTTAAACTACAAGTTTAGCTTCAAAACAGATATTTTCCATCAAACAATTATAGAATTAAGAAATAGACTGGAAGCAAAAACAGCTAGAGTAACATTGTGTTTTAACTGATCTGAGATTGATTTACAAGACCATTTAATAAACTGGAACTGATCTAAAAGGAAGGCAAGATCGATCTTTTTGGACTAGGACTAGACTAATCCATCTCTAAACATGTGACTGATAATATATTTTATTTTATTTAAATATGAATGACAAAGCACATTCCTTAATTGCACTCGCCATTTTCACCTGTATGTTCACCCTTACTTTATCATCTAATTCTGAATAAGCAATGCCCACTTATCACCCCCTAGTTACCGACCATTGGTATCGTGGACTCGATAACGCCTGCGCCTAAGCACCAGTTTCCGTCCCATACAACGATATTCTAGTAAAAGATTGGTTAATGAAATCAATCGAGATGCAATAAAAGAAGACAAAATAATCCTAATAATGGTGATGAGGATAAAAATAAATTATTCTTTACCTGTCCCGGACAGATAGCGCGTATAGGCGTCTCAAACTCCACTTTTAATTTTCCGTCTGGTCTTTTATTGACGGATGATTATTAAATAATATAAATCCAAATTAAAAATATTAATTTTTACCTTAATGTCAACTTGCATTTCTCTAAGTAATACAATCAGACAGACGTTAATCGCATAATACACGATTAATAATGATAGCTCACTACTTGTAACTTACGTGCTTTTTGTCGATATCTTACTTGACCTAGTAGATCTATACCTAAAATTTAATAATAAAAACGCTTCAATACTAACAACCTAAACTTTAATAATAAAAATGCATCAATACTACACAAAAAAATTTATAAGAATTAATAGTTTAAAAACTAACCATTTTCTATGTTTTCAGGAAGCACATCCCAGCTCCAGTTCCAATCGCGTGAAATCAATTCCCTAGAATACAAAAGCGGGTTTGTTCTGCACAATCAGACCATTGTATATTAGCATAATTATTTCCGAGTAATCAAATTAAAAATGAGAAGAAGATGATGGTACTTACGAACCAGGTACAACCATCAATGTATTCCTTTCCATGTCTTTTTCTAATACAAACCATCTATAAAATTGTAGTAAATAGATAAAAATTCACGTAATAAGTGCGCTTATTAACACTTAAACAATTGATACTTACCGATCTGGACCATGATGCGTTCTTGAACATTGTCCGATGGTATACTTGTACAATCCTCTATGCTTTCCTTAACGAAAATATTACAATGTATATATATATGTGTATGTTCTATTCAATGAATGCATCTCGCCGCTAAGAATAATTACCAATAACTTCTCCATCAACGGTAACTATATCACCCGGTTTCCCAGAAATATACTCCTCCAAAAAATCACCAAATTTTCTACCCTTATTCCCCACAAAACAAATTCCCATGCTTTCTGCTTTGTTGGCGGTTAACAGATTAGCTTCACGTGCTATGGATTTAACTTGTTGTTTTTGAAGGTGACCAATTGGAAATAGGATCTTATAACAGTTTTGAGAAAAAATAGATTAATTAATTAATTAATACCAAATTTTAAATAATAATGATTACTGATGATAATACTTTACGAAGCCGCCATTCAGGCACAGTAGACAGATAATAGCTTTGATCTTTATTCGAATCTGCACCTTCAGATAATGAGATGCTCACTCAATAAACTGGGTTTTATTTAAGAATTTATTATCAAGTGATTTACCTCGCATTAATTTAGCTCTGCCATTTGGTGCTCTTTCGATCTGTGCATAATGTCCTAATAAAATAGATAAACACGTGAATAATTAATGGTATCTTTTTAGACTTACTTATTCATAATATTTACTTAACACAACACCTGTCGCAATCCATATATTTTCATCATTGCAACCACCACTCTCTGGTAATGATTGTGATAAATACTTTTCATAAAATACACCAAATTTAATATCACGATTACAAAGAACATCAGGATTTGGAGTAAGCCCATTTGCATAGTCGTCTATGATTCGCGTGAACACTTTGATCCAGTATTCTTTGGTAAAATCAACCTTTATTTTTTGTCATCTGTTAATAATGTATAATACCAAAATAACGTGAAAATACGAGGAAAATTTACCATTCGACAAGAAATATTCAGCTGATCACACACTTTCTGCACATCCATCCAATCTTGTTCGCCGGTACATACACCAACTTCATCGGTCGTATCCCAATTTCGCATATATCTACCTTCAACATTGTACCCCTGTTTTTATTTATTTATTATAATCGATTTATATTTTAAAAAAGAATGAAGACCAATCTCTCTCCTATTCTCGCATTACTTGTTTTTTTATTAAATATGCTGTAACGCTCGAATCTACGCCTCCAGACATTGCTACAATCACTGATTGATTGATGATTGATACGTGTACATATAATTAATTGATTTGTAAATTGAAGAGTTAGACAAAATGAATTACTAAAAACCTTTTTCCCATTTTTTTGGTACCAAACTATCGGTAATAGCATAATGATATGGTCTAAAACTATTGATTCCATAGGCGATGTATCGATTTTGATAATAATGAAGTGGATTTAGCCCATACTTATTTATCGCGAGAATGATCCTTCGTGAATATGTCTTTTTGATTATCATTATTTTGCTTATGATAAATGAACAATGGAATTTTAACATTAATGAGTAAAATTTAGTCACAAAATAGCCACATAACATCCGATCAGTTTAAATATCCATGCAATCTAACGAGATTTTCATTAAATTAAAAAGAAACACATACGATTCAATTAATAAAATGTGTAACGACGGTTCGCATAAAAATATAAAAGGAAAGAAAGTTGAATCATAAAAGGTCTTGCGGGTGCTGGTAAGACTTTTTACGTGGAGGGGATTTTTGAACCTACCAAGGATGCATATATCTCACCGATGGTGGATGTCCAGACCGAGAAAGCGTTAAAGGCAAAACACGGTAATCATACGAAACTTAGCTTGAAGACGTTCGAGAAGTTAGACGAAGTCAAAGTGTCTCCCGATGGGGTGTTGTACATAGATGAAGCGGGTGCCTTCAACAAACAGTACCTAATATTTATTATGCTCAAGTTTTCAGCTAAAAAATTTGTATTTCTCGGCGATGATGAGCAAACTAAATACTTCGATCCAGTCGGAGATTTGGGTAATGAAGACTTTTGTTCATTAATTCATTACAGGGATATCACTGTGATGTATTATTCTTTTAGATACGGACCGACGGTGGCAGCACATTTGAACACCGCATTTAATTACCCAGTCTTTTCTCTAAGGAACGAAGACATGAAATTATATTACCATAACCTCGACGAATTCGGAACTACAGTTGAAGGAGTGAATCTTACGGTGACAGAGAAAAGTGTCACACATTTTAAAGAAAGAAATGTAAATAATGTCAGGACGGTCAAGTCATCTCAGGGACAGAACTGTTCGCGCGTGAACTTGCTCTATTTCCCGCGAGATGTAGACGCGGCCATACAATACCATTCCAATGGAATAGTAGGTGCTTCTCGGGCCAGGGACAAATTACACATATACTTAGAACTTAAGTCAAAAAGTTCGAAGCATACAAAGAATCTCACGGCAATGGTGGATAATTACTCGACGATGTTCGATGTCGTGGTTCCTAACACTTCGGATTTTTAGAAAGCCCCCGTTTAATCACAGATTTCGTTAAAGCCAGAACTATCGATTTCGGGAGGAGACCGATGAACTGCGTGATGGAAGTCTTGAATATTATCAACAGGGTCAAACGGAACCAAGAAAAAGTCCACATGTCATATTTGGTTTACGATTTCCAAACGATTAGACCGGAAGGTCGAGTTGTTTTAAAAACTATGGACCCTTTGAACCCTATGGACCTGATACCTGTTAACTTTGATCTACCAGTAGCGGGGAAGAAATACAATCAGGGTTCAACTTTATCAACTATTATGACCCAGCTCCATAGGTATGCGAAAACTAGAGATATGCGAGTTTCAAATGAGTGGTTGGCTATTAAAAACCACCTGGTAATTATATTCAAGGAGAGATGATTTCGAAACGAGATCACAGTTTTAGACAATGAAATACTGGCCAAATATTATTAATCCGGTTATCAGTAAATTAATTAAAAACGGGGACGCATTTCAAGAATTAAATCTCCCATTAAGACCATTGTCGGAGACATATACAATACACTTTTTCCTTAAGGATATCACAAAAGTTGTTCTTTCTAAGGCTTTGGATGCTGACAAAGCAGGCCAAGGCATATCTGCTTGGTCGAAGACTATGAATGCTCTGTTACAATCTTGAATGGAAAGCTCAAGTAATTCAAGTATAAATGCAACACGATCACAAAAATATTATCAACTTGGAAAACTTTATCAAAATGTGCTAAATGAATATAAAAGAAAATTAACAGCACCCAAGTATAACTTGAAAAAGAAGTGTAAAACTCAAACCATGAACACACACCTGAAAATTGCTAAGTGTACTTGTCAAATATTCAACAAAATTGGCTTGAAAAGACTTGAAAAAGACATAAATATCACTTCATTTCAAATTGGAAGACTTTTGAATAATAAGTTTAAAGAAATCTTAAAAAGTATTTAACATTTTTGCTGGAGCTCAGATTTCTTCAAAAGGAATATCATTCTCATTAAAAATTTTGTAATTACTTAATTTATAATCAACAAAAATTAATGTAACATCATGTAACTCAATGATAATCAAATTAATTTGTCCCTTTATTTTTATATTGTATTCCATTACACAATTATATTTAATATATTCTATCACCAATTCAATATCATCAATAATTTAATATAAAAACATGTAAATAGAAGACGCAGTTATGATAAAAATTAGTCATAATAATATCTGGATTATGTATTTAGTTCGATAATATTCTACTTATTTCTATCTCTTTCTATTTTTTTTCTTTTTCATATCACTTATCTTTCTATATTTATTTCATTGTTATTTTTATTTGAATATATTAATCGCATCATTTTCTTGGCAAATTTTATCATTTTCTATATTAGTTTAGCTCTATTTTCTATTTTTGCTATTGATACTTAGACGTAGAACAAGATTATTAATTATGATGTAGTTAAATTTTGTGTAATTTAGAAGAAAACCAATAATTTCATAATATTAGCATAAATTTACTGTGTCATATGTTGCGCTATAATTGCATCACGCTGCGCCATACTATGTATTACTGTGCCACATTGTGTCACTATAACATGAAAACATATATAAATACAAGTGCTGATAATTAATAAAAATCAAGTTCTTTAGTTTTGGTTTTAAAGTTCTTTTAGTCAAGTTTAAGTTCTTTTGGTTCAGTTTAAGTTCTCCAGTTCATATTTGAAGTTTCTTTTGGTTTAATGTCGAGTTTGACATGTTTAATTAATTTTATTTTGAATTTTAAGTAATTTTTGGTTAAGTTTACCTTTTAGTTTAGTCTTATTAGTTTAGTCTTATTTTTATCACTTTTTATCTTGTCAAAAAATATCATTTTATCATCATAAACATCATTCAATTGTAATATTCAAAGTAAATTATCGTGAATACAGTCACTATTGCCATTTTGAAATATTTTCATATGCAAAAGCTCAAAACAGTAACAATATCATTATCTTTTTAATATTTAAATTGTAATAATTACATTTTTGTACATTTTTTGTTTTAATTTCTTTTACTATTTCATTTATTTTTGTATTTTTTACTATAAAATTTATATTTTTGCTATTGATTTATTGTATTTATATCTTTATCATACTTATTTTTACTTTTAATTTCATTATTTTTAATCAATTATTATTATATTTATTTTCTTTTATTTTTTACTCTTGTTACAATTATTCTTTTTATTTCTTAATTTCTTTATTATAATTATTTATAATCATGTTCATATTATTGTTTCTTTCTTTATAACACTTTGTTTTACTCAAACTCTTGCTTTTTCTTATCTTTAATCACTAAAATTGCAATTAATTTTCTTTTGTATTTTCTTATTAATAAATTTGTGTAATTTTTTATTTATTTTTCAGTATTTATACTTTTTTTGTATTATTACTATTTGATATTTTGAATTACATATAAAATATCATGTGATATAATTTTAATAATTATTTATATTTATTTATAATTTCATTTTAAATCATTTAATTTATATATAATTTATAAAATATCAATTAATTCTTTTTAATATTGTATCATTTATTAATTTATTTTATTATTATAATATTATTGAATTTAAACTCATATTATTTTAAATTAATATTAATTAATGTAGTGCTAATGTCACTCTAATTTAAATTGTATCACTTAGTATTACACTTATCATTTCTTGACATTACATTCTTCTAAATTAATCTTATAATTATTTTTAAGTAATATTACTTATCATATAAATCTGTATTACATTTACATGTATTTAAACAAATATAGAATAACAAGTAATTTAGAAATAATTTTGAGAAATAAGTTGTAAAGTATCTTAAAAGTAATCAAATAATAAAAATATAGAAATTAACGAATACTTTTAAATAATTTTTTACTTATTATTATTTTTAATTTATTATCTACTCAACTTTGACTTATCCAACTAGTAAAAATTATCTTTTGTATTGTTCTTGTTGATTTAAAAATTGTTAAGATTAATAAATTAACAAATTAACAAAATAACATAATAATAAAAAAACAAAGACTAAATGAATTATAATTAATGAAATTCACTAAAGGTTCTAAAGATCTTTTGTGATAGCTTGTGTACAAACTAACAAATTATTAACAATAAATGATAAAAATAAATAAGAAAATTAAGTAAAAATATAAAAAGAATTAAAGAAATTAGCAAATAACTACAAAATGAATAACAGAACTTATTGATAATACCAAATAAAATAAAATAATAATTGAACTTATTGAGACTATCAATTATAAAATATAAATTAAAATAACTAAAAATAATCAAACAAGACTTATTAATATAGTCTAAAAATAATAAAACTAAATTAAACTAAATTAAACAAAATAATAATATCAATGACTTATTTAGAGTGGAGGAGCATCGACTACTTGTAATTTTAAGATTTGAAGATAATTCACAAAAATAATAATATATTTATAAGTAAAATATTACTAGTAAGAACTTTGTTATTTTATTAAATCAGAGGATTAGAGCATGAGAGTTTCTAGTAACAAGAGACTCTTTTTTTATATATTTTTAATCTTTTATATGATTATAACTAATAACTATTTTAAATCATATTATTATTTACAAATAATATTAATAATACAAAAAGAGTATAAATACCAAAAAATTATACAAATTTATTAACAAGAAAATCAAAAGAAAATTAGTTACAATTTTAGTGATTAAAGATAAGAAAAAGTAAAAGTTTAAGTAAAAAAGTATTATAAAGAAAGAAAACAATAGTACAAATATAATTATAAATAATTATAATAAAAAATTAAGAGATAAAAAGAATAACTATAACAAAGTAAAAGAGAAAATAAAATAAATATAAAAATGATTAATTAAAAATAATAAAATAAAAGATAAAAATAAGTATAATAAGAATATAAATGAAATAAACCAATAGTAAAAATATAAATTTTATAATAAAAAATATAAAAATAAATAAATTTAGTGAAACAATAAAAAAAATAAAACAAAAAATATACAAAAATTAGATATTACAATTTAGATATCAAAAAGCTAATAATATATATTAAATATAATTATATAATAAAATACAATATAAAAATAAAGGAGCAAATTAATTTAATTATTATTAAGTTACATGATATTACATTTTCTTTGTAATACATCTTAATTTTTATTAATCAAAAATTAAGTAATTACAAAATTTTTAATGAAAATAATAATATTATATCTTTTTTAAAAAAGTCTAAGCTCCAATGAAAATGTTAAATGCTTTTTAAGACTTCTTTAAACTCATTATTTAAAAGTCTTCCAATTTGAAATAGAATGATATTTATATCTTTTTAAGCCAATTCTTAAAAAAGTAAAATTTTGTAATTATAAAGAGAATGTAACTATAGAAGAATTTTTTTACTATATTTATATATAAATAAAAAAGCAAAATAAAGTGATTATAGAAAAGTATAATTATAAATAAATATGACTATAGAGATTTGATTGTATTTGGTGAAATAAAGTTATTAAATACTTTTATAAAATAATAATAAAAAAACTTGTATTAGTATTCTAAGTATAAATTTAATATATTCTAAAATATATTATACTAAATTTTAAATTCTTTTAATTATTTATTAAAAAGTTATAGCTAAAATATAATATTTCAAATAAATTAATAATTTATATAAAAAAAGTATATTATTATAATTTATATAATTTAGTTTTAATTACTAAATTTAATAAAATTTAAAATTTTATTTTTCATTCAAAAAAAATAATAAATATCAAATTTAATTATAAAATAATATAATTACTTAATTAAACAAAATTATATTTTTAGATTTTTTTTATATATAATAATTTTTAATATAGTAATAAAAATAATTTTATTATTAAATTAAAAATTTGATTACTTTTATATAAAATTAATACAAATAATTTATTTGTTAATAAAATTAGCAATTTAATATAAAATTAATATTTAAAATTTGATCACTTAAAAATATTTGATTAGAACTAAATTATATATATTATACAATTTTATTAATAGTTAAATATTAATAAAAAATTATGCTTTTATATTTTAAGCTTGTAGTTTTAAAATAATTTAAAATATATTATACTAAACTTCAAGTTTTTTATTATTATTAAAAAGTTATAACATAATTAATAATTTAATAATATAATAATTAATGAAAAACTAATAAAAAACTCATATAGATATTTTTTATTTATAAATTCAAAATATTCTAAATATATAATATTAAATCTTCAATTATTTTTAAAAAATTATATTTAAAAAATTAAAATATTTAATAACTTTTAATAATATAAAATAATAATAAAAAAACATATACTTTAATATTATAATTAAATAAATATAAAGTATATTATATTAAAATTCTAATTTTTTAATTATAATTAATAAAGTTATAGTAAAAATACTTTTGTATAAAAAAAGTATTTTAAAATATAATATTAATATATTTTATCATATTTTTTTGAAAAATAATTATAAAAATTTGAGATTTTAATATAATATACTATAGAATATTTTAAATTTATGTATTTAGAATATTAATACAAGTTTTTATATTAGTTTTTTTATTATTGTTTTATGAAAAAAGTATTCAGTAACTTTATTTTACTAAATATATATAAGTGTATTTAAAAATTAAATTGATCTTTAATAAAATTCTATATATATTATAATGTTAGAATTTAAATAAATTATTATAATAAATTAAAATAAAATAAAATTATATTAAAATAAAATAGAATAAAATATTTAAATAATTATAGATTAATATATTACAAATATTAATAATATACTTTATATTTTAATTTCTGAAATTTTATTTTGATTTAATTTTATCATAATTTGATTTCACTTTAATCTGGTTTTATTTTAATTTATTACATATAAAAAAAATAACAAGATTTAAATATCTTGTTATTGAAGAATTATTAAAAACCAAAAGAAAATGAATTTTATTTATTAAAATAATAATAATTACTTAGGTAAGTGATATATATTATATAATTATTAGAGGGAGGAATATGATCTCAAAAATCTCATCTTTTATATAATCAAAAATAATTAGCCAATTAAAATATAATAAAAATCTTATCTGGAAGGAAAAGAGTTATCTCTATAGTAATTTGATATTATGTAATATATATCATTTTCTTTAATATAATTTTTATTTTATCTATATTTAAAACTAACTTGAATTTTTAATATTTAAAAACAAGTTTTTCTTTTAAAAAATATCATTAATTATTAAAAATATATATATATATATATTATTAAATTAAGATTATTATTTTATATATTTACTTTTTGTATATTATATTTGATATCAAATTAATTAATCTTTTACAAAAATTAATTTTAATATTTCTCCAAGCAATTTGTAATTTTTCTTACAAATTAGTTTTATTTAAAAGTAAATTAAAAAGATTTTGCAAGTATATATTAACTTGTTTTATAATTTTAAGTTAAAGAACTAGATAGGTCAATTAAACAAAGTAATATAATTATCTTTAAACTATACTTGATTTTCTGAAAATATAAATTTATTATTTTCTAACATTTTCTTATAAATTATATCTAAAAAATTGATATTTAATATATTATTATAAATATTAATATTTATTTTATTATTAATTTTTCAGAGTTTATTAACTATACTAATAATTAAACAATTTTAAATTATCATCAAATTTTATAGTTAAAATAATATGATAATTTTTTAATTATTTGTTAGATTTCTTTTAGTATTATTTGTATTTATCTAATTCAAATAATTAAAACTTGCTTTTGTCAGATCAAATTATTTTTTGCCAGTCATTAGTTATTTAATTTCAATATTTTTTTTGTCATTTTAATTAGTTTTTAATAACAATTTTTTTTGTTTAATCTTAGTAAATAAATTATTTTTTCTAAATATATATTATATAATTTTTATTGAAATTTTAATTTTAGTTCATTTTGGAGTTTATATTAATTTTGAATATTTTTCAGATAATATTATAATATGAATATTTAGTTCTTATTTTATTGATTAATTTATATTATAATTTAATTGAATATTAGCTAAATACAATTTTATTCATTGATATTTTTAGATACTGAAATAAAAAAAAATGATTATAGCAAAAATAACAAAATGATTATAGCAAAAATAGCAAATTAATTATAATAAAAGCAACAAAATAATTATAGCAAAAGTAATAAAGTAATTATAATTAAAGTAACAAAGTAATCATAACTAAAATAATATTTGTAAAACTATTAAATAATATAAAAATAATATATTTTAACTAATAATTTAGATAGATTTTTTAGATTTTAGATTTGAATTTAGAGTAATTAAAGCTTTTTAGAATAGAAATTTTAAATAAGTTTTTAATAATAAACTTCAGTAATAACTTGTAAAATAACTCAAGTTATATTTTATATTAATTTTGATCTTGAAAAATAGATTACTTATAATAAATCAATTTGTTATTTAACTTGTCTTATATTATTATCTTTAAAGTCATAAAAAACTTAGTGAAGTTTAGTGAAGTTATTGAAATCATTTTAGTTTATTATAACAAGAATACATATTACTTATTTTTAATTATAATTTTTAGTTTTTTCCATTATAAAAATCTAATCTCTTCCATTTTTTAATTAATAAAAACATGTAAATAACTTGAAACTTATAAAATAATAATAATATTAATCAGATAATTATGTTTGTGACAATTTGAAAGAATATATAAATGATTAGATTTTGGTTTTTTTTCAAAGTTTTCAGTTTCTTTTTTGTTTGTATTGTAATTTCCTGAATTGAATATTCTTTTTGTTAAAGAATGTATATTCAGAAGCATTTTTCCAATGAAATGCAAGATATTTTGAAATTAAAAAATGATTAGAATTATTGTTTAAAATAACAAAAAGTGTTCTATAAATATTGTAATAAAAAAAAGTACTTTTATACTTATCTTTATAGGCCTGAACTTTTTTGTCCAAATAAGTCATATTACATGAAACACTAAAAAAATCATTAGCTTGTGAAGTAAAAGATAAATAAAAATAAAATAAGCATTAAATGATTGTGATTATTTTAATGAATAAAATCCACTTTCTTTTGGTCTTTAATAACTCTTCAATGACAAGATATTTGAATCTCACCATTTTTTTTCACGTTCTGTTTCTTTAGTGAGTTACTGTAAATTATGTCATTCGGATAATTATAAGCTTATTCGAGTTGACTTAATTCTTAATTCATTATCTTGTTTTAGTGTTTTCCAATAAGGATGTGCAAATTTTAGATCAGCACGGCAAAAAAATCTGCGCAAAAAAAATTAAAAACGCGAAAAATGCGAAAAATACGGAAAATGGATATTTAAATCTAACTTGGGATACTAATAAAAAATGTTGTGAGGCATTTTTACATATAACTTTGATCTCCCTTATCCTAAAATCAATCTTTAACATTACAGTAGAATTTTCCGGGATCGCCACCAACCTGACGAAGTGCTTTCCATACATAGTCAGAACTAAGTTTTGAAAAGTATTAGCAGCAGTAGCGCTGTATGGTATATGAGTAATACGGTGAGCGCTCGTTATACTAACACAAAATCTCTTCCCGATCTCATTACTATAATAAGCTTTCATAGTATTTATTTTTTCGATATAATAAATCTCTTTCCCCGATCACGTTGTTGTATATACAATAAATAAATAAATAATTTAATAGTTACTTGTCTAATATATGTATATCATATTGTAATCATTATTGATAAATAAATACTATATTTAGTAAATGCAAAGCTGTCACACGTAAAAGTTATCAGATTCTGTACATAATACCCATATTGACCTTGTGACATTGCACAAGAATCTGATAATTTTTTTATACAATAATATATACAATAAAATATAACACAAAGAATCTGATAATTAGGTATGTTGTGTGCGTTTCCTATTTCATGACACGGAGAAAACCGTGTTGTTTGGTCAAAGAAAACCTATAAAATTGAATCATTTTTTGTTTGCTGATGTTATTTTCTATTCTACTACACTAATTTTTTTCATAATAATAACTATTCGCCCTTCATATATAAAACGATAAAAATAATAACAGCATTTATAATACGCCATTATAAAATGAATAAAGTAAGTAAACTCTTGGGCATTTTTAACCCAAGCTCAAAAACAGCGATATCAGCATCAGCAATGACATCAACAACTAAACCAACACCACAGCTAACAACAATATTATCACGTGACATTCCAAAGCCGACAAATCCTTCTCCCAATGAAATAATAACATTATTAGACCTTCAACAAGAATCTGATGATGATTCGTGTATGGTGTGTCCAAATCCATGCCAGGATCACGAGAGTTATCCACAATACTTGAAGATTGATCGAACGTCACCACTAGATTCCACAGTGAAACCTTATTTTCGACATGTTGTAATTTCTACAGGGAAATCCGATTGGCCTGAACGAATTGATGAGGAATCAAATTCTTTTGCCGCTTGTTTGAATAATGCAATCAAAGATGCGGGCAAGAAAAAAGATAATAAAAAGAACAATGATAAGAACAATTCATCATCGTCACGTGATAAACTAGAGAATGATGAATCACAAGAAAAGCCACCAAAAATTCTAATAACTAATAGTAGTCGACATAACTCTGATAATGTTCCGTTCTCAGACGGAAATGATATTCTTTTATTTCCTGATAATATTCTCGTGCGTCAAGTTCCTTCTAAGTATGTATCGGATTTCCATCAAAAATTTCTCTCCTATAAATCAAATTATAAAGAGAATGATAATGAGCAGCAACAGCAGTCTTCATCATCTACATTTAATTTTAATGTTGAGTCAATTCCGTATAAAGCAATAATCTTAATCTGTTCACATCGTCGTCGTGATAAACGGTGTGGTACAGCCGGACCAATATTGAAATCGGAATTTGAAAATGTGCTACGAACACGTGGATTAGATACGGAGACACGTCCTAATGATGGTGTTGGTGTGTTCATGACTAGTCATATTGGAGGTATGTATGCCATAATTACTTAGAAAATTAAATTTTTTTTCTTATTTGTTTTTTTTTATATTGCAACAAGGTCATAAATTTGCCGGCAATTTAATTGTATATCGAAATGGACAAGGAATCTGGTATGGACGAGTGCTGCCATGTCATGCAAAAGCAATAATTCAGAATACTGTGATTGAGGGAAAAGTGATTAAAGATCTTTATCGTGGTTCAATGAATGGGAGTTTTGGTGAAGGTAAAGGAGGAAAATTGGAATGGTAACTCCACTTTATTATTTTATTCAATACAATAATTACAATTACTTAATACATTATGTCCTACCCTAATATTGCTAAAATGTAGAGATTATAATAAAGCTTGTATTATCTTTATGTAATCAAAACATAAATAAATTAAATTGTTCTATGAAAGCAAACGTATAATATAAAAATAATAAATTAAAATGCGCTCATAATTGATAGTTTCCGCGTCGATGATATTGTACCGGCCACGCAATCTTGACACCAAGTTGCTGAGCCGCTTTCTGCACCCAACCAGCATTATTCAGAAATGCTCTCCCGATAAACACCAAATCAGCTTGTTTCTGCTCCACGATCTCGTTTGCTTGATGAGCTTCGGTGATTTTTCCGACTGCGCCCGTTTTAATATCTGCTTCTTTTCTTACCCGTTCGGCAAATGGAACTTGAAACGACGGTGTGACCGGAATGCGTTGATAAGAGATATTACCACCGGATGAGCAATCAATTAGATCTACTCCAAGTACTTTTAAAGATTTTGCAAGTTCCACAGTTTGATCTATGTTCCAAGATTGTTCGTTATTATCGACCCATTCTGTCGCAGAGACTCTGGCAAATAAAGGTCGGTCAGTTGGCCAAATAGTACGTACGCGTTCTGCTATTTCGAGACCGAATCGAATTCTGTTTTCAAAGTTTCCACCATATTCGTCAGTTCTTTCATTTGATAACGGTGAAAAGAATTCAGAGAGAAGGTATCCGTGTGCAAAGTGAAGTTCTAACACGTCAAAGCCGGCTTCTATTGCACGTTCGGCAGCTTTTCCGAACGCATCAATTATTTCTTGAATTTCATCGATGCTGAGTTGATTGGGAGTTGCGTGTTCAGAGTCCCATGGAATTGGCGATGGTCCAACCACGTTATCTGGCCATCCGTTGTCTTCTTTGGGAACAAGCATTGTAAGTTGTGGGTTTTGTTCAACTGTAAACGGTGATCTTGTTGAGGCCTAAAAGGACGATGAATATAATTACTGAAAACAGAAAAAAAACAATCGCAAAATAAAAATATACATACTTTACGTCCAGCGTGTGCAATCTGAAGCCCAATCTTTACACCCTGCGAATGTACAAAATCCACAACACGCTTTAATGGGCCCACATGTTTATCGTCCCAAATCCCACTATCTTCCGTTGATATTCTACCATTGGGCAAGACTGCGGTAGCCTCAACGAATATCAAACCGGCACCACGTAACGCGAATTGACCCAAATGAGCTAGATGAAAATCTGTCAAAGATCCGTCTTTACAACTGTACATACACATTGGCGATACAACCACTCGATTTGCAAATTTGACACCGCGAATTGTTAGTGGTTGAAATAATGCTGGTGGGTTTTCGGATATCGTGGTGCCGGTTTCTGGATTTTGCAACGGGTAGAAGAAAGGTCCCGATGTTCCGATACCTTTTATAGTAGAAATGGTACCATTGACTTTTAATTCTTGGTGAGACATTGATTTATTATTTAAATTGAATTTTCTAAATCGAATATTTATTTATTTTGTTCTTTATTATATTCCTTTATTTTTTTTCTTTCTTATATTCCCTTGAGGAAATTGTTAGTTCATTTTATACTTTTTGCTCGGTTTGAGATGTTCTTTGATCTGCACATGTATTATTAATATCGATATTATTAATTCAATAATACTACGAATGAGAATAAATCTGACGCGATTGCCGCAGATCATTGCAAATTCAATTTGCTGCGATACATAGACCGATACGGCTGAGAATTAGGCATTTTGTTTATAGTATTATCAAAAAATTGATATGGATAAATGTAATAGTATTGCCAATAGGATCTTTCGGCAAGTTCTAGCTGGCCAAAAATTATTGGTAAAGCAGATGTGAAGATTCCTAGCCCTTTGCACAAGTTTGCGATTTTAGTGAAAATAATGATCTGTCCACTCACTTTGTGACCTTTGCTTTACCAATCTTGTTCAGAAAATTGATATTAGATGCGTGAAAGATGACTTGAAATATTGTCTTTTACCCATCATTATATTGATTCTGCTTTAGATAAAGCAAATATGGCAGATGCATAGATAACTAAAAGTTTACTTAGAGACAACTAAAGTATTTTCATTTTTATGTTTATTGAATTTTATTGTAAATGTTATATAACTCTTCGAATATTTATTATTAATAATAATTATTATGTTAACTTGTAGCTCTTATTTCTGACCATAACTTTGCTTAGAATTATAGTTTATAATTTTTATTGAAAAATAAATGTTTACTATAACATAACTAAAGTGAATTAAAATTATAATAATTAAAAACATATAATTTTTTGAATATTCATTCTCAATATTAATTATTTATATTAATTTGTAGCTTTGATTATGATTTATATTTACAACTTTATTTAGAATCTTTTTGAATTCAAACTGAATTTTTGATCAAATTTGAATTTGATTTGAAATTCAAACAAAACTTGAATAAAACTTTTAATTAAATTTGAATTGTGAACCAGATTTTTAATTGAATTCAAATTTTTAAATCAAACTTTTGATCAAATTTAAGTTCAATTCAAGTTCAAACTGAATCAGACTCAAATTAAATCAAACTTTTTTTGGAATTCAATTTTTAATATTATTACAAAATTATATTTATTATATTAATTAATAAAATTATAATTATATTTATCTTTGTAACAAAAGATTTTTGAGTTTATTTTAGTTATTTGATAAAATAAATATACTTTATTTAGCTTTAGGATTTTAATTATTAATACTTAATTAGTATATTATTTTTTTATTTGACTATAATTTCAAGTAAAATTATAAGTAAAAATAAAAATTATAAATTAATATAAATATTTAAAAAGTTTTATAATTAAATCTTTCTATAATTACTATTCTTAAAAAAATTGGATAATTATAAAAAAATTGTAATTATAAAGAAATTTAATTATATTTATATTATACAATACTTTAAATATTTATTATTAATATAAATTATTTTATATAAATTTTTAGTTTATATATATTTTTGACTATAATTTTTATTGAAAATAAATATTTATTATAATATTATTAAAATAAATTAAAATTATAATAATTAAAATATTTTTATAATATTTTGAATATTTATTTTTAATATTAACTAATTTATATAAATTTGTAATTTTAATA